AGGGGTGGCCTCCGCTGTCCCACCAAGCCACTACCCAGTTCCTAGTCTACTATCTGAGTGGATGGGGTCTAAAAGTCTGGATGTCGCTGCTAAAAATAACAAATTTCAGAGATATAACTTTTGTTGATCAAACGAAGAATATAATTTGTTCTCCTTTTTATTTTTTTACTTGTTGTCTGTCGTTCATTTCACTACACCTTACCTTATGCTTTAACTTGTCTGCCTGTGTCCTTATTTTGTTTTATTAACTAATCTGGCCTTCTGCGCAGGAGTTGGTTGGAGTTCCCACGATGTCAGATATGCTGGGCAGTACCACAGTACAGATTGGCTTCTTTCAGATCAATTACGCTTATGACCCACTTATAATCTGACGTGGCAATCTGCCACAACTCCCTGTTCAATCCTAGCTTTACTACTTATCAGACCAGATGTCAAGGCGATGGGATCATACACTTACTCTCCCTGACATAACCAAGACTCCACAGCCCTGACCTATAGACCAGACCAGACCGGAGGTGTTTGACCAGACAGCAGCAGCGACCACCAGAGAGGAGGGGAAAGGTAGGTATACGACACACAGATTCACAGTCAGCGAGGTAAGAGGGTAGGAGGTGCTTCTCTTCTTTGTAACCGTCGATGAGGTCTCCACGTTCGCTCCAAACGCTCCAATGCGCTGGTAAGTCTTCACCTCCTCAGCCCCTTCTTCTTCGGCAATCTTCCCCCTCAATCCCAATCCAACATCCTTCCTTCTCTTCTCCTATTGCCAGCAACCTCAAGCCAGCATATTCTTCTCCTTCTCTCCGGCCTTGATCATGCCAGTGCAACCAATACCAAATTTGCAAGGAACTCGACTGTTCATCACTTGCTGGAGTGCTTCAGATCACATGCATAAACACAGATTTCACAGATTGCGATATCTCACACATAGCTCAATAGAAGACGAATGAGAACCAGGAAGCTCAACTCAAAATATCATAACCAGAGTCCAAAAATGTGTAGCACTGAACAGAGTCACAAGCACTCTTCAATCAATTACGAGTTCCAAGCCTGGCGCTCTTTCAGTGCCAGCTGCCAATCATCAACAACAGCGCCCAGCAGATAATTATCACTATAGCTCTCTCCTCCCCCTCTCTTGTCTGCTTTCCTCAGCCAGCGCCCAGCTCCCTTCTTCTTCCTTAGCGCAGCTCTCTAGCCTGCACAATTCACTAGCATTCTGGTGCACAAGTGCCTCAGCACTTCCACCCTCTCATGCCAACGAGTCTCTGCCGAATGAGGAGGTTGGCCAGTCCTTTATACTGCTGGACGGATCTGGCGAGGTCTACTTTCAGCCTCCCTCGGCCTGGGACTCTTCCCCAGTACCTGCTGTTGCAAAGCGTGTGTCCCAGTACCTTTTCCCATGGTCTGCTGCTGCTGTGGCCGTTGGATCTGTCTTTTGGACTCCTGAACTGAGTCAGACGTGACCCTGGGAATTGTGACTGGCCTGGGACTGTGACCTTTGACTTAGTATTGAACAGACGTGACCTTATCTTTAGCACTAAAACAAAACACAGTGCCTGTTCGTCCAGGACCTGACTGTGACTTTCCACACGACTTTTCCTTTTCGTTTGGATGCGGCCCTTGCCTCAGAGTACTTGTCTTTTGGAACGCTACACGTGAAATCGTGAAATTAAGTTCTCCTTGGCTGGCAAACCACAAAATTATGCTGATGCCCACCACGTGGACCGTTGTAGCCCAGCGGCTGCTCAAGTACCAACCTGGGTCCACCTCAGCCCCGAGCATGCAAATAATTTCCACCTGCAGTTTTCCGGCTACAGGTGCAAGTTGGCGCTGGGACTGGGTATAGCGGCTATTCCCATCTTTTTTTTTTTAAGTGGGGTACAGATGCAATTTTCCCAAAGAAAGAAGAGGATAGGATGGGCATTTGAACTCCCTCCTTGACCCGATCCCATTACTGACCGGGTTGCCACCCGATCCCAGTCCAGTGCAACTCTGCCTTAGAGCCACTGCATCGGCTGAGAGCGGGTAGCAACACATTCTCCCCATTCTCGATGGACTTAGGGCCTCGCTCCACTACTCACCGAATGCGCAAAATCAGAATGAACCTTCTGCTAGAACATGGGACGATACACCGTCATATTTCTTGTCTTTTGTGGTCAGTAGTGGAGCGAGGTCCTTAGCATGGGGATCATCATCCACACTTCCTTACGCAGTCGGGATCGGTGCCGATCCACCAGCATAGAGAACGAATACGTGGAGCCCGCCCATTCACAACGGAGGGAGCAAATGACTGAAGCAATTCACCAATCAAATCGTCCTCATCAGGGGCCGGAATGTGTTCTCCAATGCATCCCCAATCAACTACCGTTCTGATCTATACTATCGGGACCATCTCCAAGTCGATATTGGCATAAACTAAAGCCCCGCCATTTAGCCCACCATCAAATTTAGCCAGCTAGAAGGCAACCTGGCCGTTATCGTACAGTTTACTAACCAACCATATTATCTGCTGGGCAAGTAACACTCTGCCAATTCCCACCCTACCCCAACCACTGCTACTCCTTGATCGCGTGCGGTCTGCGTCTGCACGTCTGAATGAACACTAATCAGTCCATGCGGACGAATGGTACAACCATGAACTTTTGATAAACGGACCCGAGTTCGAATCCAGATGGAACAAAACAAATACCTCTTACCTGAGGGCCGTCAGTTCAACACGAAAACAAGCAAACAACAACAGAAAAGGGCCCCGGCGAAACCCCTCCACCAAGGAAGGCTGGATTTGCGGATCGACGACTTCACGTTTTTAAGGGCCGAGAGGACGAACGATTAAGAACAGTGAATCGAAGGTCTCGATCCATGGATCAATTTAGCGGGTGAAACTACAGGTAGCTGTGCAAGGCCGCGAACACACTCTCCTGTGATTGAACTAAACGCGCGGCACAGACTCTCAACAACGAGCGACCTTGCGAGGATTCGCAGAATCATCCGCCTTCCGACAAAATTTCATTCCTGTGCACAGAGTCACACCTTATCCGCATCACATCGCCCTCTGATCCCCATCGCAACCCATAGGTGGAAGTCACTACATCCACACCTATTAATGGGCTTTAAACCAGTGACAACACATTTCCCCTCGCCTCCCTCCATCTTATCAGAATGATTGGCCCTCAAATCTACAGAGCATATTCCCGCCGGCCTCCCTGCTTCGTATCATTATTCGCCATCAGTCGCCTTGACACACACACACACACACACACAGAGCATATTCGCCCAGCCTATGCTTCATATCATTATTCGCCATCAGTCTAACGACTGTCATCTCAACCGCCCTCACACACACACACACACACACACACACACACATACATACGGTGAGCGAGCAAGCGACAGCGGGAGAGAGAGGCTTCCTCAGCACTGGCACGATCGGTATCGTCTTCGTCGTCATCGTCCCGCCATCGCCACATAATGTACAAGGAAGACACAAGAACACCATAATGGCACTGACTCTTTCCCTCCCTCTACATCCCCCTCTCATCCAGAAAAATCGAGACCCCTCCTTTTCGCACGCTGAAAAAATGAGACGGAAAGGGTAAGGAAAAGGGTCAGTGCGGGGCACGGGGGGCGAGGGGCCGGGGGGCGGCGATGATTAGTTCGTTAGAATCAATTGCCTGCAAGTTCTCCAGGCCATCAGCATCGCCGCAAAGAAGAGAAGCCCAGACCATCGTGCCGAGATCCCGGCTTTCACGAGAATCAATTTCTTTCTTCTCACAGATCGTTGAATGTGGTCGCAGTTTGAGCACACAGCTTAACGCACTACAGTTTGGGACAAGGGACCGGAGAACGACGGAGAAAAAGGACAGGTAAAAAAAGGAAGAGCAAAAGAATTAAGAGAGAAGAAGAAAAAGAAAGTTTGCAGGAGATGAAAAAAGAACAGAAAAACTAATCAGCGCGGCAGTCGCCCTCCGTCATCGGACCGACGAGGGAGGGATCATCCATTGGCTCGTCTCTCTTACACTGCTTGATGAATCCGCCGCCGTCATTGACACCGTTGCCGTTTTTCGTTCTCTCGGAACGAGCGTTCTTGACCGTTGATCGCCAGAGCGAACGGCAGTCGCCCCCGATATTAACCGTCCGTACTCGCGACACGTGTCAGCGGATCGTCCGATCCCGTCACCGATCAATGCGGGCGGGACGCGACGTTCCCGACGGCCGCAGAACGACGAAAAACCGCCGCAAACCCACACAACCCAACAAGTGGAGGCATTCTTTGTTGAACAAAAACTTCCTCTAAACACATGCAAAATGATGCAGCATCACTCTTAAAATTTAGTAATACCTTATACTAATACTCATACTAAATGATGTAACATCACAGACGAAGGCATACCACCACCCTCGAGCAATCTGGGGCAGGATACGCAGGTCCACATTTTCCATTACGAGGACGCCCGCCGACCCGCGCCCTGACCATCGCCCAACTTTCCTGTCCTTTCTCTGGCTGCAACTCTGTGGGCGCTCGCTTCCGGGACTTCTCGGCATGTCCTTCACACCCCACCCCACTCCAACAAGCTCTCTCTCTCTCTCTCTCTCTCTCTCTCTCTCTCTCTCTCTCTCTCTCTCTCTCTCTCTCGCGCGCGCGCGCGCGCGCGCGAGCAGAGAGTCGCCCCTGTGTGTGGGTGTACATGCCAGAGCGCATCAGAGCACATGTCCTTCACGTAAAATAAAAATCTTAAAATACCAGAAGTTACCAGTTTCAAGATAATTCCCGCTAAGGTCCAACAATGGGTGGTCCTGGAGGAAAAACGGCTCCCACGATTACTGACAACAGAAGCTACGATCTAATACTACTAAATATTCGGCCGAGGATGACGTGTGAACAAGAAGGGTAAGGGCTGCTGAGAGGGAAAGCGAAGGAGGAAAGGAAAAGATAGAACGTTAGGCGAAGGAGAAAGACGGGGGATCAGCGAGAGGAGGAAGAGGAACAGGTCCTGAGTTCGAACCTCCATGAACGAGCTTCGTGCTCCTCGATGAGGTGCCTGAGCCGAAGTCCTCCCTCTCCACAAGTGCCACCTTCAGCCCCCGCGTGACCGCGTCCAAAGCCACCCCGGTGCCGGTCGCTCCGCCGCCAATGACCAGCACATCGTACGGATTAGCGGCGCTGCTCCCGCGCAGTGCACTGAGCATTGTTTCGCGCGACGGCACTTCGTCGGCCAACACGGGCAGGTTGACCTCCCTCTTCTTTGAACGACTGCGGCTGTATGAGCTGTTGGCCACATAGGTGGCCGATGCCACCGCCACCGCCAAAATCAGCCGAGAGGAATTCCTGAGAGCCATTTTGACGGTTACGTCGTCAGACACGTGGCAGCCTCGCTGCGTTTTGCGGTCGCCGATCAGCCACGTTAGTCAACGGCAAAGATCCGGTCATCACACCATTGCCGCAGCAGATCGAGTAGTAACTTCCCAATTGCCAAACGCCTGAACCAAAAAGGCGCCAGTGCCAGTTGGTGAGCATCGGAATGAAAAAAATGCGCGCCGACAGCAAAGATCGAGATCAAAGTCGCGCCCGAAACCGCGCCAACTGCGACGATCGATATCCAATTGACGCCAAGCACGAGTCACACACACGACGTTACGCGCTATATCGCTCCTCAGCGGTGCTCCGCCCGTGCTTGGATCGTCATGGAATCATATCATATCACATTGACAACAATTGCATGCGAAAACCGACGAACCGGGTCGTTGGCGCGCGCGCTCCAGCACTTCCCCTCCCACCTCTTCTTCCCGCCATTCCAACGACATCACCGATCTCTGCATCCATCGACTTCCAGTTCACTCTCTCCGTCTTTCTACCCTGACCCTCCCGCGTGTCTCGCTTTTCGGAGTCTGATCGGTAACGTAGCCTGCGCGCACACGCCGCCTAGCCTACTTGTGTTGTGCCGTTCGTCTCGATGAATTGAGAGCCGACGGCGAGCCTTTCTGTTACCCAAATAAATACTACATTACCCCAAAAACGCGTGGTATATATAGCGTATTAGGATAGATGCACGTGCCAAAGAAACATAAAGCGGGGCATGAGGGATTCCCTTGCCACTGCGGATGACAAGCTGGACTCCTTGCGTGCTGACTCGGTCCGTTCATCGGGGGCTGTGATTCGTCGTCACCTCCGCAAGAAAAGAAACAGCCCAAGAAAGTCCGCAAAGCAGACTCCTAGGAGGCTTACCATGAATTCGCCTACTACCAAACCGACCGTAACCAATAAACCACCTCAGCGGACCCCTCGAATGGGCCAAGGACTGCATTCATTACTCAGGGTGTGATCACAAGGCATTCGATCCGAGGTATGCACAGCTTAGGATGAACACGGTGCGCCTGCTCACTAGGATTGCATGGACAGACATAGGTGACTCCCAGGAGGGTTAGGACCAGACCACTCTGGCGCTATGCCCCAGCTGAATAAGCAGGACCCTGGTACAGGGCACGGCTATATGGCAGTTGCCTCAGTAGTCAGCCATTTAGTTGTCCCGATACTTTCTTTATGAGACCACCTTCCCTACCCGTTCTCTCATCAATTCTCCTGGCCCACCACAACTCCAACTATCCTACCTCCAGTATCCCGCCCAGCTATTGATGTTGAGCCTACAAAAGCCCTGCGCGCAGTTTTCTACCGAACCACCAGCGCACCAAAAGCTTTTTCTTTTGGCTGGCGCCGCCAGCCATTGTGGCCCAGTGGCCCCGACGCCTGCAAGTTGCGGGGCGTTAACGACAAGGGGCCGCGGCCAATGTATGGGCCAGATACTGGTGGCTTGATCACTCAAGACCATCACCCGTCTACCATCTTCGAGGAGTGACTTTGACCCAATGGAGGTTATAGGCACCAGGGATGGGAAAATAGCCCCACCCAGCCCTAGTTGAACCATGATCGGACGAGCCTTGTCGTACAGGTACTCCAGACTCAAAACTCAAGCATTCTTCTACCGGTCCCATATGATACCCAAACCCCTCAAGCTTATCACTTGGCCATGCCTGATAAGCCCCCCAAGCCCAAATCTAGCCTATGACACCCTCTAGAGGATGCCAGGCACCCCTAAATTGTTCTCTAAGCCCCGCAGATTGCCATTATAGTTGGTATCATACAGATAATCTCGGGGTTCTGGTTTTCTAATCAGCATATGACGGAGTACCATTACACTGTCGAGCACATCAGTCCCACACAGGGACCCTCACGCACTCATCACGCAGAATTTCGCCATTTGTGTCGCAAAGCGTTTTCAGGAGCAGTATTGTCCTGGTCGAGTGCGCCAGCTATACCTTTCTCAAGTTCCTACGATAGGATAGGATCTCGCAAGGTATAACTTACCTCCACCCGGGGGAGTTGTCACCATCTCTGGGTGGGTATATCCCCGTCGAGCCAGAGGTCCCCGTGCGAGAGTTTTTCCATGCGGTCGCAGAGATGGATCAACCAAGGGTGTTTCTCGTTCGTTGTAATATAGGGGGTACGTGTGGTGTCGGTGCGGTCGCAGAGGTGGATCAACCAAGGGTATTTGTGCGTATTTTTGTGTCTCGCACGAGACGCATCTTAGATCATATTTGAGAGAGTAGCACATTTTTGTGCAGCCCGCAACCGACTCTCATAAGTCAGAACAGCAAGCACGCATGTGATCAAATTAGATAGTGTGTGAGCCTTGTCGGTGCGAATACCCTTGCAAGGGTATCCGCCCTATGTTTTTGTGGCGGTCACCAGGTATGGTGCTTCGTCTAGGATAGAGATGGAGATGGAGGATGATGGTGGAGCAAGATGACACAACGCAACTCCCACGTAGACTCCAACGCACGTACTCCAAACTGTACGGATGTAGAATGATCCGAAGTACAAACTCTGGTTGGGCTATACCCCAGCGGACTTACAGGAATGGACTGGACTGGCTGGTACCGAGAGAGGTACCGACCTAGACAGGACTACCCCGAATACAGCACAGGCCTGTGAGAACATGCCAAGGGGCTGGTCTCACAGGCCAACCAGAGGTCCGCTACATGATCCTCGGCCTGTGATGGATCGCCTAGATACAAGCACGCTTCCACCAAGAAGCGGAACTCTACCAAAGGAAAGAAAACTCGAGTAGTCTAGGATGCGGAGCAAGCTCCATGCTGAGTCCATGCGATGCAACCTAGGATAGAAAATGTCACAAAAGCAGCAATATCACAGCTAACATCCTAAGTGAAAGCAGAAAGCAACTAACTAGTATACATGTCCTAGGAAAGCAGAAAGTAATGACAACTAAATCCTAGAATGTTGGAGGTAGTACCCTCAGTCTGAGAGCTCCACGGACTTTGTCACGACCAGCTGTACCTATTTCAGACGTCGTCACTCTCTTACCACTTTACCCTGTACAGTACCCTGGTTGTGTCGCATGATGGTCTCCCTTAGCCGGGTTCCTCCGAGTTGGGCTCTCCCGTGGTATACGCATAGGCATCGGGACCGTAGCGTTGCCCTGGCTTCCCAGCTTACGGATCTAGCTCCAACTTTCCTCACCTTAGGAGTCATCTGTATGATTCCCTTACCCATTACTTTTTCTACGCTCTGCCGACCCTCACGCCCTAGTTAGGCAGCCTTGCATGCTTCATCTAGGTGCGCCCAGTATACCAGGCTCCCTTATTCCCTTGCATGGTCGACCCTCCATAGCGGTCATCCCTTTAGTCGAGCATTACCCGGCCTGATGATCTATCTGTTAAGGTCATTGGTTCTATTCGCTCTCAGTTTCCTACCCTCATTAAGCCTGATGACATGTGTTTCCCTGTCTTTATGTGTGGATGCCATTAGGAGTTATCGCCCCTAGGCTGCATTTGCCACCCTCAAAGACCATCTCACCCTGTGGTTTGCAACACACCCTTCTTGTGACATATAGTTGTCTTGTTACTGTTGTGTTTGTCCATGAAGAGAAGTCCGGGATCCCGTCGAGGAAGAGTCGCAACGTCGACGAGTTGAAGTAGCAAAACTGGAGTGGATGGAGTACTGAGAAGTCAAAGACGTGGGAAGATAAGTCAGAGTCAATCGTCGTATCGAGCAGGACGACGACGAGTGCGTTGTTGACGCTCATAAGCACCCAGCTGTTGCCAAAGGCCTGCCTCAGATGGACCAGGCTCGACTTCAGCGGTCTCCTCAACCGAGCGAGAAGGAAGAGGGTCAGTGGGTTGAGGAGGAACAGTAAACCCAACACGACGAGCACGGTCATAGGCACGCACCAATATGCGAGAGTGCTGCAAGTGTTCGAGGGGCTCCCAAGTAGCCTCATCAGGGTAACCCTTCCAATGTACGAGATACTCGACGTGAGGAGCGTTGTCGTCGGTGACTCATTGACCAATGATGTATGAAACGAGGAACTCCTCGTGGCCATCCACCATGATGGGTGGAGGGTGGTCGTACGACCGTCCAACGAAACGATCAGACGGTCTGCGGTAGGGGCGCAGTAACGAGAAGTGGTAGACATCGTGCACACGAGCCTGACGTAGGTAGTCGGACAGCTTCATACGAAAGCTGACCGGGCTAGATATCGTATCAGATTCGATGGCTTGGAGAATGCGGCATGGGTCAAAGAAGTGACGTCGGAACTTGTAAAGCGTGTCCGCTTCGAGCTGTAAGTGGCGGGTGTCGCGAGCACATCATCAACAACTTTGAATGGATGATCCATCCTCGATCGGTTCGGATGTGCGGCCATGCGAGTCTGGGAAGCGGCTATGTGCTCATGCGCGGTCTTCATGATTGACATCATGTGTGCAACCCAATCATCCAGCGCGGGACAACTCGTGTCGAGGTGCATCTGTGATGGTCGCAGGAAGTCCGGGGGAACACGAGGGTGATAGCCGAGGTCGCAATAATAAGGCAACATCCCTGTGGTTGGCGAGATCGCGTGGTTGTAGGCTATCTCCGCGTGGGCAAGATGAAGATCCCATTGCTCGTCATCACGAACAATCTTTCGGAGAATATCTCTTAGAGTCATGTTCGTGACGTCGGTCTAACCATCAATCTGGGGATGGTAAAACGAGGAGAAGTGGAGTTAGGTACCGAACACCTCGTCAAGTCGTCGCTAGAATCAGCTGGTAAAGCACGGGTCACGGTCAGATATGATGCTCAGAGGTAAGTTGTGGTCACGCACGACTCGATCAAACATGCTGTCGGCGACCTCACGTGCACTGATGGCATAGCGGGACGGAACAAAGCGTTTGTGCTTCGTGAAGCGGTCGAGGACGACCAGGATAGCATAATGACCGCGGGGGGTAGGAGGACGAAGAGAACCGATAAAGTCCATCGAGATGGACTTCTAACGACCCTCAGGAATAGCAAGAGGATGGCGCAAACTATAAGGCAGGTGGTTCGGACTATTCACCTCTTGATAGGTGGGACATTCTGCGAAGTAGTCGTTCACAAAGTCCTTGCACTTCGGCTAGACATACAGGCGGCTCACACGAGCCAACGTCTTGTGGAAGCCCATATGATCGATGACTGTCTAGTCATGGAACTCTTTGACTACCCAGACACGTAGCTGTCCTGTGGAGGGAACGCAAATGCAGGGCTCTCTGGTGCCATGTGAACCGTGCCAGTACACAAGACCGGTGTCCTTGAGAGAGTAGTTCGAGACGGTCTTGCCACTCCGAAGGGTCGCATGGATGTCGCGATAGTCGGGGTAGTGGCGGTACTGAGTGCGAAACTCGTTGGTCACCGAGTGGTGGACAGTGGTGACCGGGATGGCACCGAGCTGAATCTGCTCAAGATTATGGTCAGGGCGTCGGGATAAGGCATCTGCGACTCGGTTGGTCTCACCCTTGATGTGCTCAGTGGTGAAACTAAACTCGGAAAGGTCGCGCCACC